TGAAAATGCTCTTCTGTAAATGTGCTCTTTGATATCAGTCAAGTACCACTGATAACTCAGTGCTGCCATGTGGGTTTGTAAAATGCACACAGTTGCATATAGCCTTCCCCTGCTAGCCTGGATATTTAGTTTTATTTCCAACAAGAACAGTTGCTGGGCAAAAGTATATTTCTAACAGCTGCTTCTAACACTCTCAAGATATGAATGAAATATAAAATACAGGATAAATCTTCAGAATTTGCTCCTGAACATTTGGCATCTCCCTTCTCAAGCAGAGTGACACACATCTGTCCAGAAATACATCTTTTGTTGTTGTTACTGGTTTTTTTTCGTAAGTGCTATCAAAATCAGTTACTTTTTCCCTGAAACTTTGTGTGCTGCCAGATGGGATGCTCTGAGTGCCAAAATGTTGACTGTGAGCACCCCAGCATCCCTTTCTGTGAAGCACTTTTGGACTTCAGTTCATTTTAGAGGCAAGTGAACAGTGACAGCCTCCACAGGAAAGCTTATTAGAATTGTAGCATTTCTGAACCTGCCCTCCAGCAGCTCCTAAGCACTCTGTGCACTGCACTTTTTGTGGGACAAAATCATTTTCCACTGCACTGTAGAAGCTCACCTGCTTAATCATGGTAAATTGCTGTATAATCATTAACTGGCCAATATCTGTTAAAGCAAAACTGAAATAAGGAAAAACAGATGTTGTTTTCTGTGTTTAATGAAAAAGGCTTATGCATCCTCATACTGCATTGTCTGACCTTTCCCAGATTTAGACCTTATGTACCAGACAAAGGCATTTACCACATAATCCATGTATTCGAATGCAATTTACAGAGTTACCCAGAATACATTTGCAAAAGCAAAACAACAGCCCTTGGCAAATGTGCCAGTGCACATAACCTCTGTGCAAAGGAAAGCAGGACACCTGATAGCTGCAGATCCCAGAATGCAACTGCTCACATGCTCAGTTGTCCCCCGGAGGTATATAAAAGTTTTACACTTAACAAGAAGCCAGAGCATTTCACAGCAAGGTGAGGAGGAATAAATATCACCTCATCACCAGTGCATTTTAATTATTTCATTCTACTGTCAGGAAAAAAAAATGCCACCATTAAAACAATTTTCCAGATAGAAATTGTTTCTGACACTTCCAGAGAGAATGTCAGCTCCTGGTGTCTGTATGGAGCAAGTGCTCAACATATCAGGCTAGTAATATATGTGAAACTGGTGTGGCAGTCTCTGCACAAATGGGGAGCAGAAACTAACAACTCTTCTGTACAGGATATTTTCTGGGAATAAGTCACCTTAGAGATAGCACTGACGCTGCAGTGAAGTGAGCTGCAAGTCTCTCCCTGAAGGTAATAGAACTCGTTCTACTGGAAGAACTGGTGGTTAATTCAGGAGAATTTTCTCTTAAAACTAGAGATTTTATTGCTTGAAAGAAACGATTCCCTTATGCTAATCAATTCTTCAGGAGGTCATCACCTCTTTGACATCATCACCAGTACGGAGGGGGAAAGAAGAGCAGTAAGAGCAGCTGCCAAAATTTTCCTACAGCACTGAAGATGATAGGTTACACTAATGCAGAAGTGCAGTATCTCATGAGAGACTCAATTCACAGCTGTCATTTCTAGTATGAAGTAGTGAAGTCATATAGAAATACTAAAGTTAGTGCCATAGCTCTCAAAACTGTAAGTATATATACAGAACAGCACACTTCCACCCTTTCCCTTCTTGTCCCATAGGAAACCAACACCTTTCCTCTCAGGGGGACTCTATCTCTATGATTTTGGTTCTCTTTGTACAGACTCAGATGAAAGGTTCATCCAGTCTGGTAACTTTCGTCTTACAGAGAGCAACAAAAGGCACTCTGAACAAATAAAAGAGTAGGCCATACTTAGAGTGCTCTTTCCCTACTATCCACTCCCAATTTCTGATAATCTAGATGTTCTACATTTTGTTTAATGAAATAAACAACCTCTTTGTGTTTCGGTATCATCGTTTATTTTCAAGTTTTTATTTGCTTGCTTGTTTTTAATCAGTTGCCAGCTAATTTCACTATTGTATGTAGTTGTACATTATCACAGACCACAGATATAAACATGACAATTTTTCCAACTATCCAGTTGTTTTGATCAAAGATACAGTTTCTCTTCCTGCAAACCTTGGTCTGCCATTTGTTGCTTTCTTGTTCTTACTTTCTGAAAAACAATGATGAATCTATCCTACACATGATGGTCAGATAATCCATGGTTCCATACATCTCATTATACTTCTTTCCAATTGCCCTGTTTTTAGATGAAGAAAGTGAGGTCTAGCCTCACTTGTAGCAAAGATGAGAAGGAGTTACCAGTATAGCACTTCAGAATCTTAGTAAAGCTGGTCAAGAATACTTCAACAAAGTATTTATTTTTGGAAATGTCTGTTTGTAGAAATTGACTGTTTTTTCAAGAAATTCCAGTCTTGATAACTCCTTGGTGAGATATTTCTCAAGTCAGGGTGATTTTTCTGGCCAAAACGAAAAGGACAAACAAAAGCACAACTGTGCATCCTTTACCTATTGGGATAAATGAACACAGACATGAAAACTTCATAAACAACCACCTATGTTCAGCACTAGAACTTTTATTTAAATTAAAGAAATGCTGACTGGATACAAAGTTTGTAACTCAGCCAGGACAAAGAATGAAGCAGTAAAAAGTAATATATTGAACTCACATATTTTCATGCCTGTGGTGTTGCTGTAATCTCTCTGGCACAGTACATACAATTCTCTTTCACTCTAGAGCTCTTGTTGCAACTCTGGGAATATAAAAAGACTTCAAATTATGAAGTAAGAATAAATTACTATCAGTTTTAAGAACCTTTTACACTACCTGAGTGCAACTGTCTGAGAATCAAACAAACAAATAGCTTTGAAATTTTAACAGAAAGAAACATTATACATTTTCAGTTTTAGATTAACCAGAACTGAAAATCTGCCTTTGTTACTGAATCGTATCCTTAGCTCTATCAGGACACAACCCTTTGCCTTTAGAGAATTTGGCTTTAGTGTTTACTTTTAGAGGAAAAGGAGGTGGGAATAAATGCATAATTTATCATTCAGGATGGTAAAGATTGAGATACCTAAGAGACATTTTTGGTGAAAAGTAGATTTCATGCTGTATGCCACAGTTCTTAGATATTCAGCAGACTGCTTCTTACTCCATAGAAAGTCAGCTGTAGTGGTAGCTAGCATTGAGAATGTCATATTTAACATTTCATTTCTGCTACTTAGCTTATTTAATCATTTCAGAGAAGTGCTGCTGACTGTGAAAAGTGGAAAATGAAGTACTTGTATGTGGAACTCCGACCCAGGTGGATCTTTTGCTGAGCATAAAAGAGTTTTAAGATTTTCCTGTTTTGCTAAATTTAATTGTGCTATTATTTAAACAGAAACAGCCAAGGATGAACCGTTCAAGGACTCAATTTCCAGCTACAATCCATGTTAAAAGTAGCTGATGTGTTTGCACAACGCAGATACTGGATGATACTACCTACAGCCATGCAGAGGTATTAGCGGTACAGCAAGACTGACTGCTGCACAGCTTCCATCCCTGGACATCCTGTGAAACTACACATAGTAGTGGCTAAATCCTCTAACCTGTCAGCCCGAGGAGATAATAAAAAAAAAATACACTTCATAAGAGCAGTTCATTTTTTTTCTCTATGTAATTCTCTGTATTAGAAAAGAGCAGCATCCACCTTAACGGAGAGTTCTGTACACAGCATTGCTCGCTCACTGCTATGGAAGAGCTTTCAACAAAGCAATACCAAAGTGGAAAAATTGGTGAAGAATCAATGTCCTTTACTATTTAAGCACTGTGTATGAGTACAGCTTGTAACAAACTTACCTCTGCTGAGAGGTGGAAGAGTTGGACTTACTTGTGTTGATAAGCTATATGAAAAAGGAGCTAAATTGTCCCTTTTCTCTACCATGCAGTATCCATGCTGGGGTGAGAGTTTATTATCACTATGACAATTACTCTCCTGTGCATTGCAATATGGAGAGTAGCTCAGCTAATGCATGCTGGCTCTGCTGAACTAAAAATGACAAATATCACAAAATCATTTCCAATGTCAGTTTCCCCTTTGTTCTTCTATTTTTGTAATCCACAAGATTAATCTCTCAGTTAAACTAATAGCTACAACACATACAGCTTCATTGTTTTCCCATTATCTAGCACATCAAAGCCCAAGCCAAAGCATAGCTAAGCAGGCCAGATTTTTGACAGGGTGTGGCAAGGAATAAGTTTTTCTTTGTGAAGAAGGAAGCATTTATGAAGGCTGAGATTAGGACTGGATACTGCATAGCCAGCGAAAAGCACATTAATTTCTTAGTGACAGCTATAGCAAAACATCTCTGTTCTTTACAGTTAAAGTAAGGAATACAACTTGTACCCTTATTTTATTTATACCATATGTTGGTGTCTGTAGTTATCCACATTGCACTGAGCTTACAACATGCAAGGTCAGGTAAGGAAAGCCCCGAGATGATGGATGTTACTTTCTATCATAGATTTACCTTGAAGTATTGGCAAAGATAAAGAAGTAATGATACACAGACATAAAGAAGAAAAAAATGGTTTTAAAAAATATTTTCATATAACTGAAAACTTTCTCTTTTTTTTTACTCTTAACCTGCTAAAAAACACCAGTGCTTCTAGAGCTATAGATTTAAGATTTTTCTGGGAAGATAAGACAACTGATTTTTGCTATTACATTTATCATTTCTTTATAATTTCCATCTTAATCTTTTCAGTCTAAAGAAAAAAATAATGTCTGTGTTTTGGAATCAGATGCTTCCATTGATTCAGAAGGCTAGAAGGATTTCATCTCACTGATTTTCTTTGTCTCAAAAAAAAAAAAAAAAAAAAAAAAAAGTGAACAAATTAGTACACATAATTCACCTTAAACTGTGTAGCTTTTCTTACCTTTTCGTGCTTAACCTTTTCTAGGCTGTTTTGGAGGTGAGAGCAGTAAGTCTCCACCAGGGAATGGTCCATATCCCTTCCCTGCCCCGGATTTCTGCAGAGATTTTGCATTACCGTATCTGTCTGTGACTGCAGTGCTTATCTATGAAATGGACCTGCCCTTCCTATTGACAAGGTAGGTAAGTGATTTACAGCATGATCAGTCACACTCTATAATGCATAAATAGCTGCATACATACATTTATATGCATACACACAGTTTTTTGCAATGCCGTTTTTACAGCTCTTGCAAACACTTTGGAAAGCATGAGAGTGCTTGGCAGTGCTTCTTCTCAAGCAACATGTGTTTCCATGAGTGTTCATGAGGCTGATAGGAATGTCCAGCTGAGTACCAACCAGTCTGATAAAGGTTCTGGGTGTTGTACAGGAAAAGGAAACCTAACTTGCAAAACATTGTAGAGGAGCACTCTTTTCCATCTTGATGTACATGCTACCAAATATTGCCTTTACAAATGAGGAAAAACATGAAATTTAAGGCACTTCATTAAAAGAAACACAAAAAGAAGCAGAGGAGTAAATGTTGCAAATCTAGCTGTAGGGGACAGAGCTTTGCCTACTAAACATGTCTGCAGCAAAACACTTGAGATAAGCTTCATTATCTTTCTGTAGACACATTTCTAACACAGGTGGGAGTCACTTAAGTAACCAGAAGACGAGAAGTTTTCTAAAGGTCAAGCATAGTCTGTCAGAGTCACTGCTAAACCTGATGAAAAAAAATCATATAGAAAGCCTCCTACAAGAATAAAAAGGTTCTTTTTCTCTTTTGAAAATGTTTTATATTTTCAGAGAGATGTTTTGTTTATTTTATTCAGTTTTTCAATAAAAAGCATTAAGAAATGTTGATCTTAACTGTAACTCTTTTTAAGGCTCTGCATTATTCATGCCTTTCCAGTGTTTTGTGGGGACAATACTGCATCCCTCTTAGCTTCAGTCAGGGCCAGTAATTGAATCTGGAAGTACTGATTCCCAGACTCTTACACTTAAGTATTTCATTTATGCTATAATATTCCAGAAACAGTGTGCTGAAGAAAGAAAGAAAGAGAGAGAGAGAGACGAGAGAGAAAGAAAGAAAGAAAGAGAGAGAGAGAAAGAAAAAAAAAACTTCCAAAACAGCTCCAAATTATCTACATAAAGCAAACAGAAATGTAGATACTGGAGGCTTTCCAGGACTCCTGGTTTCCTGTAACACTTAGAAGACAAAAGTTAGGGCAGCATGCTGCAAACAGATACCGAGCCTTTCCAACATTGATAGACTTTCCATGTCTGCAGTGCCACAAGAATAGAATTAGCTGTCAGACCCAAATTATCTCGACTGCAGGCTGTGCTGCCTGGGTTTGCAAGGCCATAAATCAAGGTTATCCCCTGCAGATAGGAAGGGGAAAGCTGGGCACTTCTGGCTTTAGCCCCACACTTACTTTCACCCTAGCCTCTTCCTCTGTGGTGACTTTACCTGGAGGGCTTTTTCTGCACTTGCATTTTACACACTTACTACCCATCAGCTTGTTCAAGTCATTGGTGGCTATAAGGAGAAAGAGACCAAGTCTAGAACTTTAAAAAGTGTTATTCCAATCCACTTTTTAATTTTTCTGCTGTTGGCCTTTTTTCCCCTCTTGCTTGCTGTGTGTGTTAGGTAAAGTTGAGTAAGCAGTAGGTTGATTTCATGGGAACTGCAGGAACAGGTGCTTGTGGGAAAGCAACTTGCCTTCAGAGCTGACTCTTAATTAATAATTGAAGATGCCCTAGGAGCATAGGTAAGTTAGAATTTATTTCATATTTCTGCATTTAAAAATTGCTGAACTGTGACCAGCTCAGATAAAATGATCATTTGCAGACCTGTGCCTTCAGAAGGCAAAAGTGTTATGGGCCAGGTTCAAAATAAGCAGTATGTTCCTACATCCCATTACTTGATACTTCTCTTTGTTAAACCTTACATTAACTGAAAGGCAGAAGCTGTGCTACTTTTTAATTCTGAATTTTTCAGAAGTTTCGTGAAAGGGGAGAGAAATGTGTGAGGGAAGGAGTTACTCCTGCACTTCTGAAGAATAATAATGAAAAAGAAAAGTTTTGTCTGAGTTGGAAACCTGGACTGCTATCCTAGCTGGAAGGCAGCAGACAGCTGAAGTGCTACAGCACCATCTCCTGGAAGTTGGACACTTCCGAATTTCCAAAGCCAATGCAATTCTCAGTCACACAAGCAGATGAAATCAAAAACATGCAGTGAATTCAAAATGCTTTAACAAAAATGAACTGAAAAAGTACAGATCCAGTAAAACCATTTCCATGACAGCACATTTCCAAATACATATTGTTTTTAAATAACAGATTATCACTGTTGGGCAGTACTTACTTCTTAACATGAAGCCTTTGATGTTAATTCACAGGAAAATGGGAAGGCATAAAATTAGATGGTAAAGTTGGTCAGAAAGTGCCATTAACAAAAGTAATTTGGTTAGCTTTTCATTGTCTATAGTGAGATAAATAACAGTTTAAAAGTCTGACTAACTCTACAAACAAAGCATTAAAAGCAGCTTTTGAGGATGTTTAAATTATCAATTTCCTTGCCCTGGAATCTTCGTTCTAACCTGAAAGTGTAGACCAGCTTTTAAAATAAAATAGCTAACCTGTAAACACATCTTTTACAAATGAACTACAACTGATATATATATTTTTTTTTCCATGAGATTTCTTAGTGATTTCCTCTCAAACACCTACTGAAATTCTTTCATAGTATCAGTCTGTGCAATTTTTTTTTTATTATTATTATTTTTTTTGCTGAAAACAAAGATTATTTTTGAATTAAGAGAGTAATTTCCCACCCCTGCTGACAACATAACTCAGTGACTAAACATGCCATGTTCATCTCCCATTCTGGTTTAGACTGTTCCAGTATGAACTGCTCATGGCTTTCCCCAGCCTCTATCAGAAGAATGTGTCACTGCATGGTGCACCATAGAAAGGATGGTGCACAACATAAGCCATGGTCTAAAGAGTCCCAAGTGATGCAATTCACAAGCAGGTATAGTATCTTAGCTCTGTTTCTGGTTCAAATACTTTGTGCAGGGACAACAAGATCATCTCTTTTCATCTCTGAAAAAAAAATGGAAAATATTTGGTTCAGGAAGTAGAATGTGGGTAATGCTCCACGTGAAATAATTCAAAGTGTCCTGCAGAGAGGTTTCTATTTCTACAACTTCATTCAGCAATCTGAGAGAGCAGAAGAGTCTCAACAGATCTTGATAGGCTTTACAACAACTTGTCCTTGTGCTCCACTGATGTGGCATATTTGTTATTTTCAACTGAATCTTCCCTTTTTTCCACCCTCTCTACAATAAGCCATTTCCTGTTGAGACACATCCAGAAACAGCTTAAGTCTTTGCTGTATTCAGATCTCTGTTTTAAATTTACAGTCTGCAAAGCACCATCCAAGTTTCACAGTTGCGGGCAGATCACTCCACCCCGTGGCAGCGCTGCTGCTTGCAGGCTCCCCCTGGCAGGCTGCAGAGAGAGGCAGACGCGCTGCTGCAAAAACCCACCACGTCTGCAAAATCTGTGAATAATGCTGTGTATTCTTTAATGCCATTGGCACCCTCTCTATAAGCTCTCTACGCTTCCTTTGCACTTGTCTTTCTGTTACAGCTCACTTCATTTTGCCAGCTTGGGATATTTTCCAGCTGCATCCTCTTATGACCAGTGGACAGTATCCTGAATTGCGTAAGAGAGATCCTGCAGGGGAGATGGAAGTTTCGAATTTTACTCCTCTGAGTATTTCTGATCCCAGCTTTTTCCACTAAGAAAGGAACTTAAACTGGGCACACAGAAGCTTAATATAATAGTACATTCAGCATGGGGTACTGGTGAATGGGAAGCTGGACATGAGCCAGCAGTGTGCACTCACAGCTCAGAAAGCCAACCATATCCTGGGCTGCATCAAAAGAGGTGTGGCCAGCAGATAGAGGGAGATGATCCTGCCGCTCTACTCTGTGCTTGTGGGGCCTCACCTGGAGTGCTGCGTCCAGATGTGGAGTCCTCAGTATAGGAGAGACATAGATCTGTTGGAGCACATCCAGAAGAGGGCTACTAAAATGATCCAAGTGATGGAACATCTCTCCTTCAAGGGCAAGCTGAGAGATCTTGGGCCATGCAGCCTGGAGAAGAGACCTGATAGAGGCTTTTCAATATCTAAAAAGGGACTGTGAGAGAGAGGGGAGATTTTGATTGGATATAAAAAAAAGTATTTTAGAATAAGGGTAGTGAAGCACTGGAACAAGTTGTCCAGAGTGGTAGTGGTGCCTTGTCCCTGGAGACATTCAATGTCAGGCTGGAAGAGAATCTGAGAGCATGATCAAGCTGTAGGTGTCACTATATATTGCAGGGGAGTTGGACTAGATGGTCTTTTATGGTCTCTTCCAACTCAATTCTGGAATTCTGGGATTCTGGGATTCTGGGAAAGTAAATTTCTGTTTAGATTAAACATGCAAAATGCATTAAAAAATTGAAAACTGCATTTAGCACAGGGCTTTTCCAAAAAGGTTTCAATATTGAGTGATTAGGAGCCAAATGTTGATGTTTAAATGAGGTTTCATTTAAAAAACTAATAGAACCATAGAAAAGGAAGGTGAAAAAGAATCTCTGAACTCATACTTCTGTGGGAAGTGATCAGTTATATTTCCTCATTATACCTCCTAACTAAAGGTATATGACATATGTCTACTTCCTAAATCCTATGTTACAAAGGATTCACAATATCTGAACTTAATGTTCTCTGTTTTTCTTCAATTCTGTTGCTTTTTAGTAAACCCCTATGGGATGCGAAGGAGTTCATTCCTGTCCTCTCACTGCACTATTGCTCTACATATTTGGAATTTGTTGCTTTGTTGTCCTTCTTTAGGCTCCCGTTCCTTCTCATGCTTTTATACTCAGCGTTCAGATGCTCCATCTGGCCCATGTATTTCTTCTTGTATGGTACTCTGAAATGTAGTACTCAAAACAAGCTGTAGTGGTCCGGCCAAGCCCCAACAAATAAATCAGAAAGGTTTTGTTATTCAGTCTTCCCTGTTGCAATTTTTTTTTTAGTATGTATATGTCTGCTTGCCTATTTGCTTTTCTAGTATTCTTCATCAGAAGCACTATATATATAATTAAAATTCTGAAATAAATAAAAGCATGCCCACCAGCCTGAAATCCATCATCCTCAGTTGCTCATGGAAGATTTTTTTTTCCACTCTTTTTTTAGAAACAGAGATCATCCCAGTTGCAAGTGTAAGAAATGTTGATTTTGTGATGAATGTTGTAGTCATGAGAAGCTAGAAATCAAAAGGGCTGAAAACTAGACTACCTTCATAATATTGGCAAAATATACGTGGCATGGTTTCTACTCATCATATCTGGCTCAAAGGATTTCTAAGCTAAAGAATCATGCCCACATCAGATTGCATTTTTAACAATTTCTGGGAAATTCCAGTATAAATAATTCTGAAACACTGACGATTTTATGTACTAGGTCCACCTGAACAGATGTTGGTTCGACTATTGACATTACATAATGACAACCAAAATAGCATTGCATAAATCTCTCCTATACTCTTTGTGATGATCAGCAATTATTTTTAAATATGAGTAACACTGAAGTGTAAGATTCAGAAAGTACTTAGAGAATCCCTCAGATTTATGAATGTATCGCACTTAGCCACAGCATTTCTAATAAATTTTCAATGTAGAGAAAGTACTTAGTGGTATGGTGATAGCTTTGATATACAACTCTGTTAAATCTGACAATTTCAGTATTTTTCTTTTAAGTAAATTTGCCTGCTGTGTTTCTTACTCTCTGCTACTAATAGCCATAAGATAGACTTAATATACGCAGTGAAATCTCTTCCTGATCAGAAATATGCAAGAGACCTAGTTCTTTTTTTCACATCTAGACAATTGGGATAACACTAAATAAAAATTAAAGATTTTCCCTAAATAAATTTATTTATGAATTTATAGGTAAAAATACAGATATTTATTATTATTTTTAATTTTTTTAGAGTCCACTATTTACCTCATTGAGGAACAGAGAGGATGTCATACTATACCTTTGTAAGGAACTTAAAATATAAAACAGGTTGGTAAATAACTATTTTGGGCTACTTAACAAATGGTACTAGAAAGAATATCAGTTGAACATATAGTGAGAGATAATATTAAAATTAAAAATGTCATATACCTAGATGTGTAACTTATTTCTCCTTTTCTCTTTGCCTTGGAATTATTAGTCCATGAATTTCCTGCCCTTACTCAAATGGCATGATGAAATCTGTTTACACCACTCTTCCCACAGCAGAGACCTTTGCAAACTGCAGAACATGGATAGATCCGCCAGCAGTGGCTGATCCAAAACCACAAGTGACCAACCCCCCATCATCTGAGTGGCATGGGGAAAGATTGGCCTTTTTTCACTTGGATGTGCAGACAGGGTTTGTTAAAAATACCACCTGTTAGTGTGCCAAGCAGCAGGAACACGTATTCCTCCTCAGTGGGGGCACTCTGCCTTATGGAACAGGGGATAAGGAGGTGGGAAGGAAGGAAAGTTAAATGGATTCTGGGAAAGGGACTCTGTAGTTGATGAAGGAAAATATGATAAAAGTCAGTGCTGTCAAAACCAAAACGAAGCGTTACACGAGATGAAACAGCAGAGTTTGGGAAAAACCTGAACATTTCAGTACCCAGTCAGGCAGTACAGCCCAAAGGGAGAAGAGATGCCCTATAA